TTGTGCGCAAAAAAATTTTATGTGCGGAGCGCACATGCGCACATCGAATTTTTTTCACTGGAGAACTCAGGGTTTTTTAGGATGCAAAAAAAGAAAGTCTGAAAAAAGTTTAAATACTTAAACATACCGATCTTGTTGAATCATGAAGGTTTTTTGCGATACCGAAATCAGTTATTTTGATACTGCCTTTATGAACAAGAATATTTCCTGAATGCTAAGAGTATATAATAAGTTTAATATTTGCAAATATTAACATATATTAAGAATTAGCAAACACACCAAATCACGATGAACTATAGAATGTTTGTGTAGTGAACGTATTCCATTTGCAATTTCTTGGGCCATTCGAAGTTTATCTCTTCCTCTCATTTTTGAAAAGTTTTTTTCTAAGTATCTGCGCAAATTACCAGAATCTGCATATTCGAGAACAAGATAAAATGCATTGGAAGAAGGATCTAAATAAAATAAAAATAAAAGTATTGTAAGTCATATTATTTTTCTGAAAACAGTACAAAATATCGGCTCAAGTTTACTTTTAGTTATTCCATAAAAATGTAATATATTTTGACAGTTATTAGTCTTCAACATAAACTTCAGCTATTGTTGGAACGATAATATATTGATGAATAGCTTAGCTTTTAGCACATCAAAATTGAAATCATCACAAAAAAAAATCAACTTTTACCTCTGTAACCAAATCTTCATAAGCATTGTACAATGTCGCGTTATTATGAAAATCTTTCAACATCTTAACAGCGATAGTCTGATTGTTCCACTTTGCTTGGTAGACATCACCAAACCCACCACTTCCCAATTTTTTAACGAAAGTAAATTGATGGTAACTGAACCTTTTGACAACTCCCTGACGTAGTGCAGCTTCTAACCATTGTATTGAATTATTCTGTTGCAAATTAACTGTCGGTTGATTTAATCGAAGCATCGGGTTAGAAGGTTGATTTAATTGAAGCATCGGGTTAGAAGGTAGATTTAATTGAAGTATCGGGTTAGAAGGTAGATTTAATTGAAGCATCGGGTTAGAAGGTTGATTTAATCGAAGCATCGGGTTAGAAGGCTGATTTAATCGAAGCATCGGGTTAGAAGGTTGATTTAGTTGATGCCACATTTCTAGTTACAATTAACTCTTTATGACTGGATATAAAAAGAAAGTAATGCATTCAAATATCATTTACTTCTAAAAAAATTTATTATTATGAAAGTTTTTTAAAAGAATATAATAAATATAGGAAGAGAAATTCCGCTAATTATTTATAATTGATTGAACAATCGGTAAATTTTCTCCGCTTTGGACTACAATATTCTATTTGT